AGTGTTTGCAACTACAAACTTCCCTCAAAGCTCTGTTTTAGTTGCATCCAATAAGCTTTTGTATGTTTTGTTTTCATTTTCATTCATCTCAAAGCATTTTCTGATTCCCTTGTGACTCATTTGACACCTGGTTATTGAGGAATGTGCTGTTTAATTTGTACGTATTTGTGAATTTCCCAAATTTCCTTCTTTTGCTGATTTCTAATTCTATCCCATGTTGGTCAGAAGATACTTTGCATAATAGCAGTCTTTAAAATGTACTGAGGCCTGGCGCGGTGGATCACACCTGTAATCCCAGCACTTTGGGAGGCCGAGGCAGGCAGAAACCACCCTGGGCAACATGGTGAAACCCGTATCTACTAAAATACAAAAAACATTAGCCGGGCATGGTGACGCACACCTGTAATCCCAGCTACTTGGGAGGCTGAGGTGGGAGAATCGCATGAGCTGGTGAGGCAGAGGTTGCAGTGAGTCAAGATCGTACCACTGCACTCCAACTTGGGTGATATAGTGAGACTCCATCTCAAATAAATAAATAAATAAATAAAATATATTGAGTTCTGTTTTATGGCTGAAGACATGGTCTATCCTGAGAATATTCCCTCAAGATCCTTAACTTACTTACATCTACTAAGACCTTTATTCCAAATAAGGTCACATTCCCAGGTACCAGGTGGGCATATCTTACGGCGGGGGTGGGTGGCTGGCGGGCACGATTCAAGTCAGCAAGGAGGGCATGTGAGAGTTAAATGCACAAACACCCAGGAGTGTGCGGGTGTGGGGATCTGGGAAGCATGAGGCCCCACCCCTGAGCTCGCCAGGCTGCCTCTCATGGCTCTACCCCCAGTGCCTGGAAAAGCCTCAGGCGCCCATGAGGAAGCCCCTCTCCCGGGTCCTGGACCCCAGGACCTCCCACCTGCAGCATCGCACAAGCACAGTGATCCTGGGCACTGGGGACCGGAGGCCGAGGGACACTTCGCAGCTGTGAGACTGAGACCCCGACGAGCGGCTTAACCTCCAGGGCCTCAGGACGTCTCCTCCAAGCTGGGTTGATGATAGCTGCGCCCAGGGAACACTGTGCTCCCCGCACCTGGCTTTCCCTGTGAGGACACCGCCTCTGGGTGGCGGCGCATCTGGGGCCCCTCTGGGCCTGGCAGGTCCTTATGGGAGGGTCTGGGGACCAGCACTCAGTGCACTTTGGGATAAACCTTCTTTGAAACTTTTCTCGCCCCTTTCTGGCATCATGGTCCCTCCCCAAAGACTGAAAGCCACCACAGTGAAGGCGAATCACCAGTGATCGGGGCTCGTCCTGGAGCCCCTTCCTGCCGAAGTGGCAGAACCGTGTCCAGGAAGGAGCCAGAGGGTGCTGGGCTCCCCGACCACGGTCCCGCCCTTGCACTCCCTTCCTCCCCAGCCTCCCCTCCACAGACAGCCAGGGACATGGCCAAACTGGGCTCCCTCTCATCCTGGCACTTTCTATTCTGTTCCCATGGAAACTGCTATCTGAACGTGGGCAAGAAAGAGGAGCCATATTCTTAAAAATAACAATAGCTCAGAAACTTTCAGCTACCCGTGGTTTCCATGGAAACTCAAGCCAAAAACAGAGCTAAATAAAGAAGGCACTGGGTTTCCCCTGCTACCCACCCCCGGGGGAACCGTGGAAAGCCACAGCCCTGCCCCACAGGGAGATGCTCACCACTGCTGTACAAGGATGCAGGACCAGCCCTCCCAAGTCAGCAACGGGGCCGCCTTCCTCCAAAACGCATATGGGTGTGGGAGACACAGAGAGGGAGGGAAAGAGAGGGGCCACAGCTGCTTCCTGTCCCTGCAGTCAGACACCCCCTACTCAGACTCACATGGGGAAGGGATACCGGGGTGTGGGTGCCCCAGGCCGCCCATGCTGGCAGAGGTCACTCACTGGAGGGTTCAGGGCCCATCTCAGTGCAGTCAAGGCTACCTCACTGCTCCCCTTTTCTGAAAGTCACCATGGGGCAGGGTGGGATCTGCAGCCCTCCAGGCCGGGAGGTCTCTGGTGGAGGGCACGTAAGACAGGCCAGCATCTCCTGGACAGCCCTGCACAGTGAGCCGAGCATGGGCTTGCTTGGCTCTTGCTGCTGCCCGGAGACCTTGTCCAAAAGTTCCTACACCGAGGGCTGCGGACCCCGTGTCTGCTTTCCACCGAGGAAGTGCTTGGGAAATACCCAGGGAAAGGACGGCACGGAAAACCCCCTGAAGATGTGACATGCAGGGGCCCCCATTTCTTCTCCAGCTGCGGTTCCCAAGAAGAGGCTGGTCATACAGGAGCCAGGGTGGCTGAGGCCCCCTGGCCAACTCGCTGCCATCCTGGGCAGAACACTGGCTCAGTAGCCAGACAAAGCCTGACCCTGGCGGCCCTGCCCAGCCTGAAAGGAAAGTCACCTGCACATTCCGTCTTGCACCCTGCCCACTTTCTCTTTCTTCTTCCGTTTGAACAATGCTCAGGACACCAGCTAGGCCAGGTTTTGTTTTTTCTTTTAATAATGTGTCTACATTCCTTAAACCAGTGCTTTTATCTCAAAGCAACTGGACACAGGGTTATGCTACTCTCAATTTCCTGATACCATCGTCACATTTTAAAGATGCTGGAGTCGTGAGCCTGCGAACTCTCGTGACACACCCACTCGGGTGCTGGAGTCATGAGCTGGTGAACCCCTGGGCCACCCCACATAGGTGCTTCTCAGCTCTCACCCCTTCGGTGCCAGATCTGTGCTGGGCCCTCTTCTGCACAGCCTCACAGACTCTGCACGGTCCAGAGAGGATGCCGTCATAGCCAAGCTCATGCGGAGGCCTGGGGTCCGTCCCAGCGGCATCCCCCACTGGAAAGAGACAGGTGGGAAACCTCAGGCTCGGCACCAGCCTGCCCGAATGCAGAGCAGGAATGCTTTTCCCTATGGAGACCACTCCTCAGACCGCCACCCTTTCATTAAAATTTGAAGTAAACATCTGTATTTAACTCATCAAGCCTCGTGACACACACTTCACCTTCCGTCTCCCTGGAAGACCCATTTTTGGGGTAATAGCAGGATGGGAGGCACGGGAGGACAGGAGCCCGGGGGGACGGGAGCACAGGGTGCACAGGAGGATGGGAGCATGGGAGGATGGGTGCACAGGAGGATGGGAGCACAGGAGGATGGGAACATGGGAGGATGGGAACACAGGAGGACACGAGCCCAGGGGGATGGTAGCACAGGGGCACGTGAGGGCAGGAGCATGGGAGGATGGGAGCACAGGAGGATGGGAGCACGAGAGGATGGGAGCACAGGAGGATGGGAGCACGAGAGGATGGGAGCATGGGAGGATGGGAGCACAGGAGGATGGGAGCACAGGAGGACAGAAGCCCGGGGGATGGGAGCACAGGGAGCACGGGAGGACAGGAGCACGGGAGGATGGGAGCACAGGAGGATGGGAACACAGGATGATGGGAGCATGGGAGGATGGAAGCACGGGAGGACAGGAACACAGGAGGACAGGAGCCCGGGGGATGGGAGCACAGGAGGATGGGAACACAGGATGATGGGAGCATGGGAGGATGGAAGCACGGGAGGATGGGAACACAGGAGGACAGGAGCGCGGGGGGATGGGAGCACAGGGGACATGGGAGGACGGGAGCACAGGAGGATGGGAGTACGGGAGGACAGGAGCCCGGGAGATGGGAGCACAGGGGGCATGGGAGGATGGGAGCACGGGAGGGTGGGAGCATGGGAGGACAGGAATCCAGGGGGATGGGAGCACAAGGGACATGGGAGGATGGGAGCATGGGAGGGTGGGAGCATGGGAGGACAGGAGCCCAGGAGGACAGGAGCACAGGGGGGATGGGACGATGGGAGCATGGGAGGATGGGAGGATGGGAGTTTGGGAGGACAGGAACACAGGGGGCAGGGAGGATGCCAAATGGGAGGACAGGAGCATGAGAGGACAAGAGCATAGGAGGATGGGAGCACAGGAGACAGGAGGATAGGAACACAGGGAGCATGGGAGAATGGGAGCACGGGAGGACAGGAGCATGGGGGAATGGGAGCACAGGAGGATGGGAGCACAGGAGGATGGGAGCACATGAAGATGGGAGCACTGCAGGATAGAAGCACGGGAGGATGGGAGTGTGGGAGGACAGGAGCCCAGGAGGTTGGGAGCTCAGGGGGCATGGGAGGACAGGAGCACAGGAGGCTGCCTACAGTGATTTTGTTATTCCCTTAACTTAAAACCCGGGACATGGGACCAGATGTTTGAGAGACACATTAAAACCAGTGAGAATTAAGCATAGGGAATGTGACCAAAGCTCTTGCCTTTTCCAATACCATGTTGGTTCCTAACAGTCAGAAACAAAAAGACGTCCCTATTCTGAGGCATGAAGTATGAATGTGAATTTAGATGAAACTTTTAAATCGATCTTAAAGGACAGACAAACGTCAATGAACAGCAGTTTACAAACTGCAAGACAGAGAAGCAGCTTCACCAGCCTGCGGGAAGACGCCTCCGCGGCGATGGGAGTGCGTTTCCTGCACGTTTTCGCCCATCGCTCATCTTTCATCCTCACGCCCTGAGCAGGTGCTAAGGCAGAGGGTGCTCGCTCAGGACGAGAGGCAGGCAGAGGCGGCAGCGCCGGCGGGGCAGGGTGCGGCTCCTCTGCAGGGCCACGGTGGACAGAGGTGAGGTACCAGGAGGCTTGAAGGAGGGGTGCCTGACCCCGCCTGGGCACCACAGAGGACTGCCTGGAAGAAGCTACCACTGACAGCCCTGACAGAAAAGAAGGCCCAGCCCAGAAAAGAGGCAGTGACATCACCAGATCCCAGCCCAGGCAGGTCGGGAGTCAAGAGGGGCCTTCAAGATGCAAGCAGCATAAAGACCTATACACACACACACACACGCAACACACAACACACAACACACACACAGACAACACAACACACACAGACACACACTTATAACACTCACACACAGCACACACACATATGGATACATACAGAGGTGGCTCCGACAGGATGGGCTGCCCGGATCACGGGTCTGTGTGCCCTGCGGCGGGGGCAGCCTCAGGCTGTGGACACAGGGTCTCATTCTCCAGCCACCCGGTGCAGCAGGGTCTGTGTGGCCTGTGGCAGGGGGAGCGGCGGACACAGGGTCTCTCCAGCCACCCGCTGCGGCCGGACGGCTCCTGAAGGATGTGTGGCCATGGGTTGGGCTTCCAGGGCTTTCTGCAGGTGTCCAGAACAGATCCTCAGGAATGCTCAGCTTCGTATTCTGCTCCCCTGACCCCGGAGGCCAAAGAGGGGCTGCCGGCTTCACCCCACAGGCCTGCTCAGCCCTGACTTCCCACAGGGGCTGCAGCAGGGCTGCCATTTTTCGCAACAATATATTAAAAAGCTAAAAGTTCTAAACCCGTAGGACACCAAGGCCTTCTCTACTCTGCCTCATGTGCTTTTCGGGGAACTGCACAGCCCTGAATGCCCAGACTTCAATAACACGGCTGATTGGTGCTTGCAGGCACTCAGGGTGAGAAGGAGCGGCAATGTCACAGACTCCACTGGATATCCGCAGCTCAGGCACACAGAGCAGCAGCTCCACACAAGCACTCACTGGAACCTGGAGCAAAGGAAGAGCCCCTGGGAACGCCCCCAGCCTGGGAGCTCCACTGAGGAGGGTGTGAGACGTCATCGGCTGTGCCTGCATCCCCATCACAATCCTATAGAGAGCGGGAAAGGCTTCCCAGGGAACAGCTCCGGACCCTGGGCATGAACATGAGTGCATGTGTGTGACTGTGAGACTGTGTGAGGGTGTATGGGCATAAGTGTGCTGTGTGCATGTGTATATGTGTGTGTGCACATGTGCATGTATGCATGTGTGTGTGCATGTGTGCATGCATATGTGTGTATGCCTGCATGTGTGCGCGTGTGTGCATTGCATATGTGTGCATGTGTGTGCGTGTGTGTGTGCACCTGTCTGTGCATGTACACGTGTCTTTGTGTCTGCGTGTGTGCCTGTGTGTGCATGTGCGTGTTTATGTGTGCGCCTGTGTGTGCATGTGCATGTGTGTTTGTGTCTGCGTGTGTGCGTGTGTATGTGCACGTATGTGCATGCACGTGTGCATGTGTGTGCAAGTCTGCGTGTGTGCATGTGTGTATGCATGTGCATGTGTGTGAATGCACATGTGTGTGTATGTGTGTAAGACTTTGGAGGACAAGTGGTTGACACGAGAGTCATGAGAAACCAGCCTGCTGGGGCCAGCTGAGCCCATGAGGGAGCTAAGGGGGAGCTCCCTCCCCACATAGGCCAATGGTCAGGGGCCCAAGCCCTGGTCAGCCCCTTGACTTCCTCCCCTCGCTCCAGGGAGCCAGTCTTTCCACCCAGGAAGGCTGTCAGCTCCACAACACCCCCAGGGCTGTGTGCCCAACAAGTTCCACCCAGCCAGCCTCCCAGGACCCCGCAGAGCAGAAGAGATTCTCCCTGGGACTGAACACATGAGCAGAGTGGCCGGCGCCTGCCCCTCCTCGAGCAAAAGGGACATGCTGCTTCCTAGGCCCAGCCTTGGCCCCGGAAAGCTGAGAGGGACGTGTGGAAAGAATGAGGCCTCGGCTTGCCTGCTGGGGCATGAAAATAAATCACGAGGCAACAAAAGAAAAGAAACAAGGCTGGGGCACTGCTTCTATTTCACAGGAAGAGGCGTCAGAGGAGCCGTGGCCCAGGGCCCCCACGTCAGGGTCGTCCCCAGTGCGCAGGTGGCTTTGCAAGCACCCACCCTCCCCCAGCCCTGGAGACTCCCATCCAGGAAAGAGGGGGCCGGACTGCAGGAGCCCGGCAGCCAGCGCTAACCCTCTCTGCTTAACTGGGACATGCCCAGCTTCCCTCAGCAGCCGGCCCGCCCTGCGCTGACCTGCAGGACCATCTTTAAGTCCACATCCCTCTCCTGAAGAGGGACAACTGCTCCCTGCTCTTGGTGAAATCCTAAGTCATCAGTGTTGAGACCACAGGGCTGTGAACAGCAGCTGCCCTGTCAAAAGCATTCGAAGTAAGCGGCTGCAGAGAATCCTCCCTGAAAAATCCGTGGGAAAACCATGGCCGCAAAGTCTCACCACCCCGCACGGCACCATAAAAATACATCCAGGGTATTTTTCGACGTGAATGAATCAGAAGAGGTCCCTGCAGCTGCCTGTCAATTACCGTCTGGCTGGGACCAGGCATCTGCGCTCCCCTTGGAAGTCGCTGCGTGGCTGGTGGTGGGACCCGGAGACCGGAGGCTGCGGGAAGAAGCCCAAGGCCCTTAGCCTGGTCAGGACATCAGGTGTTAGACGCCCTCTGCCCTGACGGGGAATCACTTCGCAAGCCCTTCACTGTGTATGGCTGTATTCACGCCTTACAGCTGCTGTGACAAATCCTCACAAACCGGGAGGCTCCAGCAGCAGTTACCACCCAACAGCTCCGGAGCTCCCACACCTGGCCTGGGTCTCGCTGGACTCAAATCAGCATCTCGGAAAAGCCGTGTTCCTTTCCGAGGCTCCAGGACGCATCCGCTTCCTCGCCCTTTTTCAGTGGGCATCTGCCTTCCCTGGCTGGTGGCCGTTAGGCCGTCTCAGAGCTGGCGCTGCAGCACCACTCTGGCCTCCACTGGCTCTGGCCTCCTCTCCTGCCTCGCCTTTCCATGTTCATGGGTTCGTGAAGACATCAGCTTCCCTGGGTGACCAGGAGGCTCTCCCCACACGCAGGTCAGCAGTGAGCAGCCGTCACTCTCCTTGGTCATGTGACCCTCACACCCCCAGGCCCTGGGGCATTCAGTGGGAACATCTGTGGGGCATTCTCCTGCCTGCATGTCGGGGCCTGGCATGTAGAGATGCTTGGGAAACAGTCACCCACGAGACGAATTTGCCGAGTGGTGCCGACGAGGATAAAGGCTCAGGGGAGCCACGTGCTGGCTGGTGATCACAGCTATCGGGTGAGACAACCAGGACATGCACAAACCTGGCGAGCTCGCGTTGGTCTCTTCAGGAAGGAATGAGCATGCGTAAAGAGAACTTATCACTTTTTACCTGGGAGATTATTCTGTCCACAAAATAATCGCTACCAGAGTACAGGCTTCAAAGCCACATCTTAAACCTGTGGTCAGGAGGGCGCAGGGCACTCACACTTCATTTTCTTCTCTGCTCCAGACGCATGGCAGGCACTGAAAAAAGCCATGAAGGATGTAGCCTGCTGTCTGCAAATGACAAGCACAGCACTGTGGGTGGCCAAAGACCCCAGCCTGTGGACCTCGGGTTTGGTAACGGGCAGCAGGGCCAGTGGGTTGCTCCCGAACGGTGGAGAGACTGAAACTGCCCATACAGGGTGGAAGACCCCCAGCCAGGCACGAAGGGCTCCTGCCCCCGCCCCCAGTAAAGCTGCCTGACCCCTATCAGAGCTTCAGCACCCTGAACCCACAAGCCAGGGTAGGTAGGAGGCCCTGAACCTCGGGGTCAGCAGTGAGTCAACCCCCTGCCAACCATGGCTCCATCTGGGAGACCCCTCGTGCCCCAGTGGGACAGAAGCCCAACCACCGTCGTGAGACAGGGCATTTAGGCACCAGACAACCGCAAAGCTGCTAGAAAGAAGTGCGGCAGGAATGGAGGGAAGGCAAGAAAGAGAAACAGACTAACCACAAAACAAAACAGAGCAAAACTCCTCCCACTGACAATGAGCCTGCAAACAATAAGACTGCAGCTGAGGGGAAACCTGATGCTGAGACCCTGAGAACAGCTTATCCTGCAGCAGCATCCTGGCACCGCCACCGAAACAGAGAAAAGTCGAGTGAACTATTTTGAACTGATTTCAAATCCATGGCTGGGCTGGCACAGTGGCAATGACGGGACAGGCCCTGAAAGGGAGCTGAAAACAGAACCTGGGGGTGCACCCACCCAACAGCACTTACCCCACAGGGACGCGCCTCACCTCAGAGCCCCTGAGCACCGTGGGGAGAAGAAGATGTGGCCTGAGGCTGACCCAGAGCAGGGAAACACAGGAGACCCCGGATGAATCTGGGACCGTCTACAGGCTATGCCCAGTGTAAGAGTGAACAACAAATAAAGCGATCACTCAGAAGGGGACAGAAAGAAAACTTACCTGTCTCAACCCTGGAATTACGTAAAGGGAAAAAAATAATCTCATTTTGTCATCAAATGGGTCCTCAAACAGCTTTGTGATCAGTGAGGCTACCTGTGTGACCCTGCAAACCTCAGGGTAAACTTTAGTTCCAGATATCGATGGCCCAAGTAACCTCAAACGTTGAAAGAAAGAAGAAGGAGGAAGAGGAATAAGAAGAACAGAAAAGAAGGAGGAAGGGAAGAGAAGGGGAGAAAAGGGGAGGGGAGGGAAGGGGAGGGAAGGGGAAAGGGAGAAAAGGGGAGGGGAGGGAAGGGAAGGGGAGGGGAGGGGAGGGGAGAGGAGGGGAGGGGACGGAAGGGGATGGAGGGAAGGGAAGGAGATGGGAGGGAAGGGGAGGGGAAGGAGGGGAGGGGAGGGAGAGGAGGGGAGGGGAGCAGAGGGGAGGGGAGGGGAGGGAGGTGAGTAGAGGGGAGGGGAGGGAGAGGAGGGGAGGGGAGGGAGAGGAGGGGAGGGAGGGGAGGGAGGGAGAGAGGGGAGGGAGGGAGAGGGAGGGGAGGGGGGAGGAGGGAGGGAGGGAGGAGGGGAACAGAGGGGAGGGGAGGGGAGGGAAGGAGCGGAGGAGAGCAGAGGGGAGGGGAGGGGAGGGGAGGTGAGTAGGGGGGAGGGGAGGGGAGGGAGAAACGGAGAAAAAGTCCTCTCAACTTCAACCCAGGTCTCAAAGAACTCCCAGTTCAAAGGAAGATGAGTTCCCCACCCAACATACACAAGGAACAAAGGTGCCATGAGTGTGAGTGAGTGGGAAAAACAGAAGAGCAAACACAGACTCAGTGAGACCGTAGATATCGGAAACACCAGACACATAGCATTAATATAATATTAACATTTTAACATGTTTTAAAAATTGGAAGGAAGTTTCAAAAGGAAGATTAAATGTATTAGTAAGAAACAAGATATTCAAAAAATAACAAAACTTCTGGTAAGATATGAGTGAAATAGCAGCAGACTAGCTGGAGTTTGAGAGAAACTTGGTAAGATGTGTCAGATGTTATCAGGGATACAGTCCAGAGACAAAGAGATGGGAAACATGAAAGTGACGGAAAACATTAAGACGTGGAAGATAAGATGAATTAGGTCTGACATTAATCTATTTGAATTTCAAAAGGGAGTAGAGAGAAAAATGAGGAGGCAATATTTAAAGAGATAACAGCTAATAATGCTCAAAAAAACATAAAAAGACACCAAACCTCGATCCTAAAATCCACCCCCTCAACTTTCAAGCAGGATGAATATTACAAAATCCACACCAAAATGCATCACTGTGAAACTAAAAAACGTCAAAGGCAATGAACACAATCTTAAAAGCATCTAGAAATGGCTGGGGGGCAGCGGGGGAGGGATTGTTGCTTACAAAAGAAAAACAGATTAACTGCTGACTTCTCAACAGCAAAATGCAAGTTAAGACAGTTGAACATCTTCAAAGTTCTGAGACAGTTTTCAACCTAGAATTCTACACCAATGCTAGAAGTCTCTAGAATGAAGATGAAACAAAGATATTTCAGGAAGATAACACTAAGTTTGTCACCATGAAAATTAGCTTTGCTACAGCACAAACCACCCCAGAGCTTCATGGTGTAAACCGTCATGCTCCTGAGCATTTGCTGGGCTGAGGACGGAGGGGCCGAGCTGACTTCTGCTCTCCCCTGCACCTGCGGTCAGCCGGCATCCAGTCAGCTGCTGGGTGACCCAGGATGGCCCCCCTTCCTCACCCGCTGCTGCCTGGGACCTG